GGAGTCTTAACCACTTCATGAGGGCCGCTTGAAATGGACAGATCTTAGCAGCCAAAATGTAGAGGATTTGAATAACCCTACTGAGAGCCGCGGGCCCTGGTGGCACAGTGGTTAAGCGCTCAGCTGCTAACCAAAAGGTCAGCAGTTTGAATCCACTAGCTGCTCTCTGTAAACCCTATGGAGGGGTTCTGCTCTGTCCTGTAGGTTCGCTGTGAGTCGGGATCAACTCGACGGCAATGGGTTTGGTTTGGTTTTGGTATTAAGAGCCTAGGTCCCTAGGGGGCTCAAACCGTTCGCACTCGACTACTAACTAAAAGGTCGGCCGTTCAGACCAACCCAGCGGTACCTAAACCAGGAGAACCTTTTGAAATACGGGGTTAGCACAGTAATGGCTGGTTTGCTACATGCTGTGCCCCATGCTAAGCGTTTGATATGCGTGGTTTCATCTTCCCTTCACAGCAGCTTTATGAACTAAGGGTATTGTCAGGGCTCCCATTTCTCAGATGTGGATGCTGAGGCTCAGAGAAGTTCTGTGATGTGGCTGAGGTGGCACAGTAAGGCAGATGGAGCCTAGCTTTTACCTCTTAATCTCTCCGTGGAGTGTGGCCGTGAGCAGGGATGAGGTCTGTATAGCCAAGGGGTGAAGGAGAGCCTGCCCCATCTGTGAGACATGATCCCTCCCTCCCAGACAGCTGACTCTGCTCTCACCTCCTCTTCCCTCTTAGAGCATGCCAATTACTTTGGCGTGGACGAGAAGCTGGGGCCAGTGGCCGTGAGCATCAAACGGGAGAAGCTGGAGGACCACAAGGACCACGGGCCTCAGTACCAGTACAGGATCATCTTCCGGACCCGCGAGGTAGGTCCCATCACTGTCGTGATTACTCCGTAGACAATGCCGCTCCCATCTGTGAGCCTTTTCCCTGTGCCAGCTTCTGTGGGCAAGCACTCCCGTGCTTCATCTCATGGAATCCTCCCAGCCAGCCCATGAGAAGGATCCTGTTCACCTGCCCGTTTTACAGAGGAGGAAACTGACACCCAGAGAGGCTAAGCAACCTGTGTGGGATGATTGAGAGCCCACAGTGAATAAGTGGCCAAGTCCAGGATTTGAATCCAGAGCACCTGACTGCAGAGCCCAGAGGGTCTTATTTGCAAGAGACTAACCGGTTAGCATAAGAAAGGAAGGAGCTGGAGGGATTATTTCAGTATAATGAGGTGTCCTGCAAAAAGGAAGGAAGGAGTAGGGCAGTGAGCCTCAGGCAGGGTAGGAATCAGGGAACCTCAGCCACAGGCACTGTTGTGGATGCTGCCCAGCTGAACACACTCCCACCTGCCTCTCCCCCGTTCACAGTAGAGAATCGCCTTGGCCTGGCCAGGTCAGGATCTTCCCTGGATTCCATGTCAGCTGTGGTGTGCAGCCAAGGCCTGTCCTACGGTGTAACCCCCAGAGGCAGCTTTGCTCTGTTAGGACTCGAAGATGTAAGTGGCAGGAAGCTACTTTTAACTGACTTAGGTCAGAAAGAATTCATCGGTTCATGTAACTGTACATCCAGGAGTAGGCTAGCTTCAGGCATAACTGGACCCAGGGACTCAAACGTGGTTGCCAGAGCTCTCTGCCTCCTCACCCACTTGGCTCTGCTGCTTCTTGCGTTGTGAATGTGACTCTCCTCGGCCACCAGTGAGCTCTCTGTGTCATGCAGAAATGGCACTGGCTGCCCAAGGCTGCTGGTCTTTCTACTCTTCCGTGCTAGATCTCCAGGCAGGACTCTGATTGGCTCTGCTTGGATGGCAAGCCCATGCCCTGAACCAATCACTGTGGTGCTGAAGGACACTGGCCCATCTAGGACCTGGGCCCAGGGGTGGGGCCGGGCAGGGCGGGCCACCGTGATTGACGGTTCTGTCAGAACCAGCAGGGCAGCTCTTCAGCACAGAGAAAGAAGCTGGCCAAGCAAAAACGGTAGACTTCCAGCAGACCCAAGTAAGGAGGACCTTTGAGAAGAGGGGGAATTGTAGCTGGGCTGCTCCCCCAAATGCATCTGTGGGCCTGGCCTTTGCCCAGGCATGGGAACCCAGCAGGCTGCCATGGCCAGGGACTTTGAGTTTGGGGCCAGCCGAGCCCTGGAGCTCGTCCAGGCTGGCAGATACTACCCTAGCCCCATCGCCTGGTGACAACCTTCCTGCCGAGGGCAAATGGGATGACACAGAGGCTTCGTGGCAGCTGAGGGGTGGTGGCCCAGAACCACATGTCCTGGACGCAGGTGGTCACCGGCCCCCTCTGTCTCCCCAGTTCCCTACCCTGCCCCCGTCACCTTTCTGCCTAGCTGCGCACCAGGACAGAACGTGAGGTGGACGGCTCCCGCTGCATCAGACCGTTCCCTGACAAGAGGGGAAACTGCTAGGGGAAATGAGACAATGAGCGTGTGTTAATAAATAGTGTTTGTTACAATTACTGTTATCACTGCAAATCTACTGAGCACTTGCTGTGTGCTAAGCATTGTTCTGGGCCCTTTGTACGTCTTAACTCAGATCTTGTAACATTGCGTGATGAAGGAACCGTCCTCCTCACTTACAGATGACAGAGCAGGCACGGAGAGGCCCTGGCTGCCCAGAGCACCATCTAGCAAGTGGCGGGGCCGCTGTCAGCCTGTGCTCTTAGCCCCTGGGCTTAGGTTACCTCAGCTCAGACCACAGGTCGGACCCATTCACAGCTTACGAAGTCAACGTGGGGCCAGCATTTTTGTAAATGAGGACAAAGCATGTAGAATAAATTATATCACACGGACTGAGAGTCGTGAGACTTTGGTGTATAGATGTGGGTGTTAGGGATTGAATTGTGTTCCCCAAAAATGTGTGTCAACTTGGCTATCCCACGATTCCCGGTATTGTGTGATTGTCCACCATTTTGTCATCCGATGGGATTTTCCTGTGTGTTGTAAATCCTGCCTCTATGAGGTTAATGAGGCAGGATTAGAGGCAGTTATGTTAATGAGGCAGGACTCAATCTATGAGATTAGGTTGTGTCTTGGGTCAGTCTCTTTTGAGATACAAAAGAGAGAATCGAGCAGAGAGACATGGGGACCTCCTGCTACCAAGAAAGCAAAGCTGGGAGTGGTGCACATCCTTTGGACCCGGCATCCCTGTGCTGAGAAGTTCCTAGACCGAGGAAGACTGATGACAAGAACCTTCCCTTAGAGCCAACAGAGAGAGAAAGCCTTCCCCTGGTGCTAGCACCCTGAATTCCAACTTGTAGCCTCCTAGACTGTGAGAATAAATTTGTCTCTGTTGAAGCCATCCACTGCGGTATTTCTGGTAGAGCAGCACTAGGTGACTAAGACCCTGGGTCAGGATATAATTTTCTCACTGTGGTTTCTGTTCAGTAGGTTTGAAACTGGCTTGGTGCCATTCATGGCCCCTGCCTGCTGCTCCCTCCTGCTTCACACCCCCAGCACCCACAAAGCTAGCCCCTGGGGACTCTGGTCCACCCCAGGCCGGGCACAAGGGCCCTCGAGGCTCACCCTTGCACGTCTGGGACGCTTCCATTCCACAAGACTCACTCAGCACCCCCTGAGCACTACCTGCCAGCCCTGTGCCGGGCACAGGGGAGACAGAGGTGAATACAGAGCAGAGATGCTCGTGGGAGTGCAGTCTTGTTGGGGAGACAGGCAACACACGAGATAAATGAGTGCTCTCTACAGTGTGTTACATGATGATAAGGTGGAGAATGAAGCAGGGAAGAGAGAGAAGAAGTGGGGGACAGGGGGACAGTGAGATTTTAGACAGGATGGCCACGGGAGATGTCACTGAGAAGGTGACATTTGAGTAGAGACCTGAAGGAAGCGACGGAGGGAGCATTGTGGACACCTGGAAGAAGAGTAGTCCAGGCAGAAGAAACAGCCAGTGCAAAGGTCCTGGGGCAGGCCCATGCCTGGCGCATTGGAGACCTGGGGTGAGTCCTAGTTGGGCTGCTCAGCACCTGTGGAATCTTGGGCACGTGGCTTCCCCTCTCAGAGTCTGTTTCCCCCTTGGGAATCCCAGTCTCACAAGACAGTGGCATGGGCTCGGGGAGGTGGTGTGTCTAAAGTAGGCGGTGCTGGGTCTGGCGTTAGGGAGGGCCCAGCAATGTTAACTGTTGGGAGAGTCTTCCTGTCACACCCCAGTCGGCTCTGTGAATTGCGGCCCACCTGAGGTTCATGCAGCCAGGCATTTCTCCACCCTCACACACAGACAGCCCTGGGCCAGCCCCTGGCAGAGCTGCCCTATCAGAAGGGCTCTCAGGCCCGAGGGACCCTGTCATCTGCAGTTGAGGGGAGGGGCAGCGGCCAGCAGGATTTGCTTCTGGTCTTCCTAAAGCGGCTCCCACTGTGCAGGTGGAGTGGAGGGCCACATGGCCCAGTGATAGTAACTCAGCGCCGGGAATGGGAGCTGGCACTCTTAGCACATGCTCCTGCCACACACTGTGAAAAGGGCTTTATGTGCACTGACCTGTGAATTCCCTCTGCAGTCCCATGATGGGGGTCCCATTATTACCCCAGTCCTATGGATGAGGACACTGAGGCCCAGAGAGGGTCCCACAGTGGCAGAGCTGGCACGTGGGCCTGCCTGGCCTCTGAGCCCACCATGCCACACTGCCTGTCAAGTCGAGCTTGAATTCTGGGCTCTGCAAACAGACAGCCTGGGTTCAGGTCCAGCTCTGCTACCCACTAGCCTTGTAATCTTGGGCACATGGCTTTGTCTCTGTGGCCTCAGTTTCTTCATCTGTAAAGTAGGTTCTGATGCCATTTGTTCCCAAGAGGTCAGATAGCCATGCCGGGAGCACGGACAGAGTTCTGTCCTTCTGTTCATACATATATGGTTCAGGCTTGGCAGAGCAAGCCACCTCCGGAGTGGGGGCCAGAGCAAGGGCCCAGGCTGCCTTCCAAGCCAGTCAGCTGGACTGCCCCAGATGGCCACCCTCATCCCCTAGGCAGACAGCCACGAGCGGGCCTGCATCTCCCGGCAGATGGAAGTGAGTGTTGGCAGCGCCTAGCTTCCCGCCGAGGCAGGAACAGACTTGGAGCTGGGTTTCAGCACCACAGCCTGAGACGTCAGCCCCTGCCCCTGCCCCTGCCCCTGCCCCGGTGAGCCTGGATAGAATGAGCTCTAAGCCAGGGCTGCCCTCTGCTGGGCCCCTCGCTGGCACTGCCTCACCTGGGAGACAAGGAGCCCAGCTACCAGGGCCTGTCTGGCCTTGGCAGGCCTTAGTTTTGTTA